GAGAGAGAGAGAGAGAGAGAGAGACAGACAGACAGAGAGAGAGAGACAGAGAGAGAAGTAGAGCGAGAGAGTCGTAACGAGAAGAAGAAGATGATGATGATGAGTAGGAAAGAAAAAGAAATAGGGATAGATGTACATATACTGACAGACAGATGACAGAGGGACAGACATTCATACAGATGACACGTGTGAATGCACATAGACGTGTCTTCAAACACGAGTACTTGAGGAAACAACAAAAGTCCACTTAACCCTAGCCACAAACCCCCTTCGCCTTAACCCTTAACTCCTTACAGCCAATCAATCATCCATCGGAAGATTCGAACACATCTCGCTAGCCCGCCCAGACTGGCATGCGCAAATAAGTAAATAAAGAACCCCGCAAAGATTGGGTAATTACATCGGTGATGAGACCGACGAGCAAACACAGCGGAGATAAGGCTATTGTGCAGTGATAGTTTAATATGCCTTGTTATGTTGTTATCAGCACACGGGCAGAGTTTAAAAAACCCATGTGTGTTCCACCTTTTGATCTGTAATACGCCAAAAAGTTCGAATTTCTTTTCTTTTTTTTTTTAAAGAAGAAGAGAAAGAAAAAAGAGAAGAAGAAGAAAAGAAAGAGGGAAAAAACCTTGTAACAACGCTACCCTAGAATATAAAAATTTTTCTGCTCAGTATCTAGTTTTGAGAAATTTGACGTTAACAATTTTGAGTTTCACAACGACGAGATTAAGCTTTTTCGAACGCAGTTCGATTACGACTCAGAATAATCTTACGATTTTGATGGAGCAGATAGAACATTACTTTGGACTCTAACCCCATGGTCTCAGTTCAAAACAGCCAAAAAAGTCAGACAGAACTTTGTAATTCTTAGGTAGCAATTGTATGTTAAAAAACAAAAGAGGTGGGTTGGGCGGGGGAGACAAAACTTTAAAAAAAAAAAGAGTGTAAAAGAAGTCGGGTCGCTTTGATTTCAAATGAGGATCAAAACCACTTCCCTGTCGCACGCACGAGACTAGGGTTCGATGCCCCAACGAGTGTGGAGACAATTCTTATCGAGTATCTCAGTCTTTCTGCAGGGATGTTCATCCCTCTCAGCTAAATGGTTACTGTATGTATATGTATAAAATGGACACCGTATATAATACAAATAAATAAATAAATAG